ATGGTTTGTGCTTTAGATTCTATTTAGATAGGGCAAACGGCTACTATATCTATTTTTTTATCTTTATTTTTTTGCCTTGTAAAAACTTGTTATATTGTGAATAGACTATTTTTTTCCATTTTTATTGTAAGCTAGTTATCTGCCAATTCACAAATTTTTAACGTTTATCTTACAGGCAGCTATATTACCAGATTTCCTGGATAGTTAGAATAGCTTTTTAAATTTTAGTTTCTAGAGTTCATTTGAGCCTTCAGTAGTAAAGGAAAGAGAATTTATCTCTTCCCAATATTTGTACCAATCATTTCATTTATAGCTGTGCTGTATTTGTTGAATTGTAGTGATTACAAACTCATGCTTTCATGGTTTTAATGAAATGGCGTTAGAATTGTTTTTCTTGTTTTTTGATAAATTGTCCTTTATCATTTAGATATTTTTATTTTATATGAGGATTTTTGTTATTTTTTGATTACTTGTGAATTTTTATAATTTTTAGGGTGTGGTTTAATCATAACAAGTATTATTATTAGTGTGATCACATAGTGGTGTTTTCTCTTTTCAACTTGTTAATGCAAATAATTTTTTAATAGATTTTTCAATATGGAGCCACCCTTGTACTTCTATAATAAATTCTGCTTGGTCAAAGTGCATACCTTATAGGATTGATTCTCTTGGCTAATATTTTATTTAAATTCTTAGTTTTATATTCATAGATAACATTGCCTGCTTTTCTTTTTGGATACCTTTCTTGTTTTGTTGCTAATAAAGAACTTTATTTTTTTCTATGACCAGAAATAATGTTGTTATAACTCTGTTCTTTAAAGGTTATATAGTATTTTACTGTGAATCTGGCTAGGTATCTTTCTGTTTCTTCTATGGTAATTAGAATATTCGATTGTGATGTGTTTTTCTGTGTTGTATTTTGGTAGTTTGTGAGAAAATAATTTCCTTTAGGTTTTATTTTCCTTATTTAGAGTAGTGAGAGGATCTTCCTGTTTAGCATTTGGATTTCATAACTTCTCTTTTGGTTTATTTCAATTTAGCTTATACATTGTATAAATACTTATGAGTATATAAATGTTTATCTCTGCCTATGTATACATAATTGAATTTGAATGTACTAAATTTATTTATAGTCCAATGTTGACTAGCTTTTTTGAATCTGAAACTTCCATTATCTCTCTTGATAATTATGTATTTTCTGTGTACATTTTGCCACTGCATCAGCACTTCATCTTAGACATTTTCTATTAAGTTAAAAATAGATCTGCATAAGATACATCTTATAATATGAATGGACTATAATTGAACTGTTTTCCTGTGGGTGGATATTGAATTGTTTCTAATTTTTTACCATGACAAGCAATCCTGTAGGAAACATTTTTGCAGCTATATAAGTGGGATTTTGTAAAGTGAGATTTCAGGATCTAGAAATGTTTGCACTTTTAATTTTAGTAAGAATATAAAATTGGTGAAAAATACTAATTTCCCAATAGGGGCATTAGACTGCCCTTTTCTTCACACCCTTTTAATATTGTATGCTGATAGTCTTGTCATTTATTTGATGAGCAAAAACTTCCATTATAATGTGTGCTTTCTTGATTTACTAATAAAGTTGAACATCTATATGTATTATCTGTACTGGCTTCTATTAAAGGCCATGCTTGTTTTTCCATTAGATTGTCTTATTAATTGTAGTAGATTTTTCTGTTTGAAGGATAAAAATTTTTAATGCCTTAATTTGCAAATGTTTACCATTTGTAAAAATGTTGACTTTCGGTTGATTCCCCAGAACTACCATTTATGTCAATAATTTTTTATTAATACAGTAGCTATATCAGTAATAAAATAATTTTGGGAATGTGTCATCTGACAAAAATGCAGAATAATTCCAATATTGGGAAATCTTAACTCCTGCAAGTTCCCAGAGCAACTAACCTTAAGGTTAAAACTAATTTCCTGGCTTTGGTCCTTTCAAAATATACATCTGAGTCTTCCTTAGATCCCCTCCCCCACATTTCTGCAAGGGCAGTCTCAGTCTTTGATGGGCAACACTTGCTTATTGCTCTGAAGGTAGTTGTTAATATATCCATTAACGTTTTATGCCATTCTTTATCTTATATTCACCATTTAGATATATTTGTTTTTAAATTTTTCTTTTAACATAATTAGTTTTGGCCAAAAGCAAGATAAATTACAGTTTTACTTTAAGCTGCAGATTTAAGAAAAAGGAGTAAAAAAAAATTATCAGATAAATCATTTTCCTCACTCCAAAATTAACTTCTGTAAGTGAATTGCATATTGGTTAAAATATTAGTACAGAATTTATGTTACTATCTGAAGTGATTATTTCTATTGATGCAAAGATTTGGAACCTTGCTTCTTAATAGGACCTTAATTTGGCCAGAACAATGTTGTAGTGAACTAACTAACTAGCCATGTTACTTTCTTGTGCTCTGTTTTCTGTGAAGTAGGGCTAATAATTGATAGCTACCTCAGAAGGTTATTACAAGAATTAACTGATAATTGATGCAAAGCAGTTAGCACAGTGCTTAACATTTAGTACTTGATGGGGAATTTATCTGTTCTTACTGATAAGACAGTCCTTGAATATAGCAAGCTTGATACAGTGTTTCAGAGTGGGTAAAATACGGTCTTTAGAGGTAGATGTGATTGAATTGTTCTAGTTTTATCTTTTATTTATTGAATTACTGTGAGGAGGTTATTAACCCATCTAAGCCTTCGTTTTCTTATTTGTAAAATGGTGCTGGTGGTCTTACATGCTTTTGTAAGGTTCAAAGTAACAGATAGTGAATACCAAGTTGTTTACTATTTGTTTTACTGATTTGTACATTTCCTCTCATTCTCCCCATTGCCTGGTCTTTCACATTCCATAATATCTTAAGTTTTTTTATGGTTAACCTCCTCTTTCCTTGATGCCCTTTAGCAGATGTGACTTGAGAAATTTAAATATAATTTTGGAACTTAACAGATTTCTCTTTAAGGTAATACAGTCTTGAGATGCTACTCAGTTAATTTTTACAACACCAGAAACAAATACAAACTTATTTATGAAAGCACCATTTAATTTGTGAAATGTATTAACCATACACTTGAATCTTTTGTTTATGCCTCTAATTGCATTACTTTGTAATGAAATTTTAAAGTAGGTGAATAACAGCAAGCTAAATATTTTTCACCAGTTAATTTTAATCTTTCCTCCAGAGAGATTGTAGTTGTCATATCTTCTTGTACATGGTGCTAGAATATGTTAAAGAATTTTTTACGTCTTCAGAATTATGTATCTTGCCACTTTATTCAGAAACCCACTCTGTATATAGTTGTCAGATGACTGATGACTTTATAAATCTCTTTAGGAGGGACTAATTTTGTTATCAAACGGCTGATATTTTATCAGTTTCTTTCAATTTAATGGCTATCTATAATTCTTTCATTGTAATTGTCTTCTCAAAAGTTGTAGAAAATAAATATCTTACCTCTTCTGTTTGTTAAAATCAGTTTATGTTCTTCTAAGTCATCTTACTCTGCATTCCCACTTTTTACAATAACTACAGAAGGAAATTTAGAATCAGCACCAGTGGTTTTTTAGTTATTTTGTTTTGTTTTTTTTTAAGTGCTGCCTTATAAGTGTTCTTAATGCCACAGAGGAGTGATATTGTGTGACTTTATCAGCAACTCTGATACAAAAACATGTCTCAATGTGAAATTTAAGGAATAGCTTGACTATTTTATTTGCGTATTATGTATTCACAAAAGTGATATGTGTTTTTTAAAAAGTGTCCAAGTAAGAATAAATTATTTCAAAAAATTTTAACAAAATCTGAGTGGTACAAATCATGTGATAGTTTCATAATTATACTTTTTCTTTCTTAGAGATATATATAGTAATGTTTTGTCTTAGAATTGAAGAAACATGAAGAGATCATCTCTATAACCCTCTTTAAAGTATACTTCAGTTTGTTACCATCTGAAAAATCTGCCAGAATTGGGCTTAGTACCTTTGATCTCATTCAGTAAATTACTCACTCGTGAGTCCTTGTAAAACTTTTTAAGCTGCTTGTATTAAGATAGACTGACATGTAAAAAGATGTACATATTTAATGTGTACAGCTGGATGGTTTGGGGAACAAGTAATACACTTGTAAAACTACCACCACCATCAAGATCATAGGTATCTATCATCTCACACAGTTCCCCCCATCCCTTTATTATTATTTGTGCGTACAAGTGTGTGTGTATAGTAATGTTGTAAAACTCTTAACAGACCTTTATTTGAGGCACATGTCTATCAATACCTGAGGTTTTATTAGGAACTTTTAGTAGGTTCTTAATAGTTCTTTTGGATTCAAAGAGTGGATTTACGATCTCTATCAAACTAGTTTCATTATGAAACGTTATCTCACCTATCTTGTATTAGAGCATTTGGATTCACGTTTTAGTCCTGCTAAATTTCACCTTGTTGATTATTAACTTCTGATTGTCATCCAGAAGTCATCCTTTCTAATTTGACTGCTGCCTTTTTATAGCATGTTTGTTTAGAGCTTTGTCCAACTTGATATAAATATTCTTTGAATTTGGGTGGTTGGGTTCATGATCAATGAACCTGTACTACATTAGTATGGACTCTTATCCACAAGGCATTGATTTGTGTGGATGAAATAGTATCTCATATGTTTAAGTTAAAAAGTTACTGTTCTTATGGAAACAGTCATATCCTTACAATTCTGAGATTTTACAGAGAGAGTGATCCTAAAACTTGAATCGACTCATGCTGCACTTTAAGTCCCTTTAAAATTGGATTTTCAGTCACTTCCCTGTTTGCATTGATGAATTATTCTGAATGCTTTTAACTGTCAAAAGTGTGCCCATTTTATACTTTTAATTTTTCATATATTGCTTTGAAACAGTTGATACTGTTATTCACTGTCAGTGGCACTGTTAAATAATTTAAAAGTTTTATACAATAAATTTTTTTTCTTTAGAAATCAATGTGGACTGAACATAAGTCACCTGATGGAAGGACTTACTACTACAATACTGAAACAAAACAGTCTACTTGGGAGAAACCAGATGATCTGAAAACACCTGCTGAGGTAAAAGTTTGAGGGCTGGAAATCAGGGATTATTAAGTAGATTGGGTCGGTTTTTTTCCCCCTCATCTTTTCCTTTTTCTTTTTTAGGATGTCATGGGTATTTGACTATCCAAATAGTACTGCTTATATCACAAAAGCCATTCAAAGGCGAGTTCATAAACACACCAATCAGTAAAAACACAACACTCATTCCCTTCTTTGAACAGACCAATTTTATTTACTGATTTATCTCTTAACCTTTGTGGGGTGACATTAATTTAAGAAGGGTGATTTAAAGAACAGATTGGAAGGGAAAAAAGGCTCTCTCTGTGACTGCCCTGTATTTTTTAAATTCATATTTCAAATTGTTTTCCTCTTTATAGTAAACCTGGATGACTTCATGTGTCATATAAGTTCTTAAAATTTTCAAATGGGGTTGATTTAATGGAGATGAAATTAAATTACAAATACTTCCTTGTCTTAGAATGAGACAGTGTCTCTGGAAAATGCTCCCCCCCCCCCCCAAAAAAGTATGTACTTTTCATTTTATGTTGCAGATTTTATCATTCAAAATGCACAGATAAGGAAGTAAGATTGAAGGAATGAACTGAGTAAGCATTAATCCACATGGGGAACTCCAAAGCCCTAAGTGAAAATAGATCTGGCATTTCAAACTATATTTAAGGTTTTTCCTGATTGGTACTATGTCTCCCCCCCACTCCCCTTAAATTCAGGAATTTGAGGAGGTAAAAGTATTTGCCAACCACCACACTAATATGTACCACAGTACTTAGAAGGGGATGTTGGTAGATACTATAATTTTTAATTTATCCCAATATTGACATACTCAGTAATATTTATCAATTATATATTTGCCCGAGACATTCTGTATGGATTTTAGTTTTTAATAGCATTCTCATAACACCCTAACTGGTTTATATATTAGGTTTTAAGTATACCATACTAATATATTGTTTACTTATGGGTAATTCACATAGATTTGTAATAAATTATTATGAGACTGAAATCTAAGCATGACTAAATCAGATTTTGCTTTTTCTCAAAGTTTATATTTATACTTGTATTAGTTTTTGAAAAGTATTTGTGAAATATGGGTGGTAATTTTTACCTTTGATGGGGTATAAATGGCAAGAGCACACACATAGGATTTGAAATTCAGATAAACCTGGTTTTGAACCTTGCCTCTGCCCCTTAATAGATATATTAGACCTGACAAGTTACTTTCTCTAAGTAAATGTGGAATAATATAAGTGTTACAGTATTATTGTAATGATTAAGTAATGTATTCCAATCTTAATATCACTAGAGAGTATCTTGTAATTGGTAGCTTGTATACCATTACCTCACAAGCTTTCAAATTGTATAGCTTGGTAATATCTAGTGAAAACAGTAACATAAATGATGTGTGGTGCTAAATACATTACTGTTAACTGATGGTTTTTATTTCCCTCTAGCAACTTTTATCTAAATGCCCCTGGAAAGAGTACAAATCTGACTCTGGAAAGCCATACTATTATAATTCTCAAACAAAAGAATCCCGTTGGGCCAAACCTAAAGAACTTGAGGATCTTGAAGGTAAAACAGAAAAAAATCTTAATGTTAATTTTTTTACATATATATGTCATTCACACTGAAACAGTCCTTCATAAATAGAATTATTCAAACAAAGGCCTTATTTTTTTAAATTATATTATTAGAATGTTTAAAATGGTATAACAGTTTTATGGGCTCTTATTTTCTTGTTGCTCTGGATCTCAGTTCTATAGATTTTAAATAGATTTTTATTTGATTTGATTCCACTGAAACTAGGATACCAGAATACCATTGTTGCTGGAAGTCTTATTACAAAATCAAACCTGCATGGTGAGCGCTTTGATAATTCATTTTCTGTCATTTAACATTTTTAGAGTATGTCACTAATGTTCACTAACCGTGATCCAATTAATCTGCAGTGAGAAGTCTCTAATTCAAAGAATTCCTTTAATTTAAGGGTTATATTATAAATGAGCTTGTAGCTTTTAAAGTTGTACTTTGGTGTTTTGTGTTTTGTTTTTTTTTTTTAAGTTACGTATCACTGGAAAATTGAACAAGGACATTATGTACAATATTTCTAAATACTGCTTTGGATATTAGTGCATACCTAGAATATGGGACTTAGCAGAGATCCTTATCAGACTATATAATTAATGTAGATTTTATATAGTAACAACATTGCAAAATAGCCCTCATCCTTGTTATGGGAGAATTAAGGTAAGCAAAATATCATGCCTCACTTAAAAAGGGAGGATTTTTTTTTTTTTTTTATCCTCAGCCGTCCAGCATACTGCTTGAAATCTAGAAATGCATAATACAAAACACAGGACTTGCACTTCTAACAGAATCTGGTGTCAAACTATAGTAGGGTAAAAGCAACAGAGTGTAGGAGAATGGGGCTAATAAAGTAGACTGCAATGTGAAATGACATCTGGCAGAAAAAAGAATAAAAAATTCTTGAAGGCACTGTGGTATTGTCTATTTACCCTATGTCACCTCATTAACTTAGGTATCATTTGTATCTGAAAAATAAGTTAATTTATATTAACGGTAACCCCTTTGGTATGTTTTGTCAGCCATCCTAAACAGATTTTCAGAAATGATTTAGTTTTTAAAATATTTTCAAAGTTAATCTTATATTATCACTTAAATGGAGCACCTAATTCCCTAATGATGCTGAATAAGGTATATTTTTACCCGTACAGAAAAATTTACCTAAATCTCTGTACTAGCATTGGCTAATTAATAACATTGTAGATAGGTAGATCCCCAGTTTATTGATGTAAGAAATATCAAGCTCATTTCTGATATAACCCTATTACATATAGTTGGTGTGCATAACTATCTATCTACTTGTCAATGCTAGTATATATGTGCTGGAATTTTATAACATGATTCTGTTTTGAATTTAATATCCTTTAAAAAATAACAAATAGTTTTATTTCTGGGAAAAATACTATTTTATTCCAGAATTATGTAGATACTTTCAGGAAGTTTTTTCAGTAGCCTTCAATCTTTGGGAAAGCAGCAGCGTGGGGGGAAGCTTTCCTAAAAACTGCTATTTAAATTTGTGTTCATTCTTTAATTGCTGCCCTGGAACTTTAGAACAAGTGCTTGCTCAGTAAAAGTTGTGATTTTGGGGGGAGGGTTTTTTTTGGGGGGATGGTAAATTATATCTTATGAAATGTTTTTAAAAGTCTTTAAAGTTTGTTTTCAGTGATCATATTTAAAAACTGTAGTATATAACTTTCCTGTTTTCTCTTTAATAGCAATGATCAAAGCTGAAGAAAGCAGGTAAGCTGTTTTAGATATCAGTATGTATTTAGAAATTAGATACTTTATGATCTTGTTTTAACTGTATAAATAGTATTTCAGAAGTTTTTTCAGTAGCCTGCAATCTTTGGGAAAGCAGCAGTATGATATAGTATATCATATTGTACATCATTTAGTATATCAAGATATATCATATTGTAGTACTGCCTTTTAAAACAAACATATTAGGCCTTATGGTTTCGGTATCTTTGGAGGATTTGAGGGTGGGAATAGGGATATTTACTCAAGGTACGCAAGTGATACTTTACTAGATAGTAATTATTTTAATTTGTACTGCATCATTTATGAATTAAGATTGTGTTATAGAAAAGCCCATAATTTTCTATAAGTTAATTTGGGAATAGAAGAAGTATTCTATCTATATATCTCTTCCTTTATTCAGATTTTTCTTTTAATGGATGAAATGAGTAAAATTTTACAGATCTTACAGAAATTTATGATACATGTCAAATTTTATGGCATGATACAATCTGATAGGCATTTAAATGAAAACAATTATTAGACTTTAGGAAATGGAGGATGTGTTTTGTTAATATAAAACTTTGTGGCTTTTATTTTTTAATTTTTTAAAGATTTATTTATTTTCAGAGAGAGGGGAAGGGAGGAAAAGAGGGAGAGAAGCATCAGTGTGTGTTTGCCTCTTGCAGGCCCCCTGCTTAGGGCCTGGCCTGCAACCCAGGCATGTGCCCTGGCAGGGAATTGAACCAGCAACCCTTTGGTTCGCAGGCCAGCACTCAATCCACTGAGCCACACCAGCCAGGACCAGGTGTTGTTGCCTGAGTGCCTGTCCTACTTTGATTTAATTCATGAATGTTTGCTGAATTATATCAAAGTAGTTAAGTTTTATTTCATGGTATTAGTTTTTTTTTTTTAATGGCTTAACATTTGGCAGCATTGCTTTTTTTCCATTTTAAGAGTTTCTCTTGTTCATATGATTGTATAATACTTAAAAACTAGCTTTATTTGGCTTTATGATTGTTAGTAATGAAATAACCAGTTTTCTTTTTTTAAAATATATAGTAAGCAAGAAGAGTGCACCACAGCATCAACAGCCCCAGTTCCTACAACAGAAATTCCAACCACGATGAGCACCATGGCTGCTGCAGAGGCAGCGGCTGCTGTTGTTGCAGCTGCTGCTGCCGCTGCTGCTGCAGCTGCTGCCGCCAATGCCAGTGCCTCCAGCTCTGCTTCTAATACTGTCAGTGGAACTGTTCCAGTTGTTCCTGAGCCTGAAGTTACTTCAATTGTTGCTACTGTTGTAGATAATGAAAACACAGTAACAATTTCAACTGAAGAACAAGCACAACTTACTAGTACCCCTGCTATTCAGGATCAAAGTATTGAAGTGTCCAGTAATGCTGGAGAAGATACATCTAAGGAAACTGTAGCTGAGTAAGTTTAGTAGTTTGTCTTCTGCAACACATCTGCAATACAGATAAGAAAATGAATATTATTTAAAAAAAAGAAAAAGAAAATGTCAGTTAGTGACTATTATATTAATTTTTTGAGAAAATATTTGGGGTGGCAAACACACAGTACAGTTTACACGATTACATGTTATAGAACTGCGTTCCTGAAATCTGTTTAATTTTGTTAACCAGTGTCACCTCAGTAAATTCAATAAAAGGGAAAAAAGAATCCTAGCATAAGCCTTAAGATAATCATTTTTGAGGCTGAATTTTGTTGGGGTCGTGCTGTCAAATTCTGGCAAAACTAATCCATAGAAATTTTGGGAAGCCAGGCTTCCTGAGACACAAATTTAAAGGGATGCAGGAAACCTTAGTATATCATATTGTATATCATTTAGTATATCAAGATATATCATATTGTAGTGCTGCCTTTTAAAACAATCAGTGCAAAAATTCCATGATTAAGAAAATATCAAAACATTAAATAAAGATCAGTATTACTGAACTTCCGGCAAGATGGAGAAATAGGTGGACGCACCGTACCTCCTCGCACAACCAAGATTAGAACAACAATAATTTACAGATAGAATAACACTCAGAACTGGCAGAGGATTTATCTGAATGGAAGTCGGACAGCCAAGAAGATGAAGTAGACCCATTCATCCAGACTGGTAGGAGACAATGAGTCAGGCGGGCGCGGGGCTGGCGCAGGTCGGCGGTGCTCGGAGGTCGGAGAAAATTTGGCGCGAAATCGGTGCGACACCCATCCCCATCCGGGCGCAAGAATGCAGCGGTGATCCCTGAGTACGGAAGCTGCGGCTGGCGGACCCAGTGAGGCAGCGATTGTGGACCAGGGCAGAGCTCGCAGCCCAGGATCCCAGAGAAAGGTCTGAGCCCAGGAGAACGGAACTACTGCCATTGTTCCCTCCCATCCCCGCTCCTGCCCCCGCCCCCACATACAACATCACAATGTAGCAACTGGGGTGCCCAGACCCGGTGAACACCTAAGGCTCCGCCCCCCACCGTAACAAGAGCGACCAGACCGGAAGAAAAAAAAAAAGGAGAGACAGGGAAAGACGTAAGACATGTTTCCAACAGAACAGATCAGTCCCCCAGGACTCATCCTTTTGAGCGATCAAGAAATAGCCAATCTATCAGATGCACAGTTCAAAACACTGGTGATCAGAAAGCTCATGGAATTGGTTGATTTTGGGCGCAATTTAGATGAAAGGATATAGGTTACCATAAAAGAGATGCAGGAAGATACGCAGAGGAGAGCCAATAGTGAAAGGACGGAATCTGAGTCTCAAAACAATACAGTGGACCAGAAGGAAGATAGAATCAACCAAGCAGGAAAGCATGATGAAATAAGAATTCAAAAAATCGAGGAAAAGCTTAAGAGCATCCAGGACACCTTTAAATGTTCCAACATCCGAATTATAGGGGTACCAGAATGGGAAGGAGAAAAGCAACAAATTGAGCACATATTTGAACAAATAATAAAGGAGAACTTCCCCAATCTGGCAAAGGGAACAGTCTTCCAAGAAATCCAAGAAGCTCAGAGAGCCCCAAAGAAGTTGGACCCAAGAAGAAACACACCAAGGCACATCATAATTACATTAGCCAAGGTAAAAATGAAGGAGAGAATCCTAGAAGCAGCGAGAGATAAGGGGACAGTTACCTACAAAGGAGTTCCCATCAGACTGTCAGCTGATTTCTCCAAAGAGACCTTACAGGCAAGAAGGGGCTGGAAAGAAGAATTCCAAGTCATGAAAGACAAGGACCCACATCCCAGATTGCTCTATCCAGCAAAGCTCTCATTTAGAATGGAAGGGAAGATAAAGTGCTTTTCAGATAAGGTCAAGTTAAAGGAGTTCATCATCACCAAGCCCTTATTTTATGAAATGCTAAAGGGACTTACCTAAGAAAAGAAGATAAAGAAAAAGACATGTATAGTAAAAGGACAGCAAACTCACAATTATTAACAACCACACCTAAAGCAAAACCAAAAGAAACTAGGTAAACAACTAGAACAGGAACAGAACCACAGAAATGGAGGGCTAGCAGCAGGGGGGTGGGAGGAGGAGAGAGGGGGAAAAGGTATAGAGAATAAGTAGCATAGAATGTAGGTTGAAAATAGATAGGGGGAGGGCAAGAATAGTACGGGAAATGTAGAAGCTAAAGAACTCATAAGTATGACACATAGACATGAACTAAAGGGGGGGAGCGTGGGTGAGAGAGGGTGTACAGGGTGGAGGGGAGAGAAGGGAAATGGGACAACTGTAATAGCATAATCAATAAAATATATTTTTTTAAAAAGTATTACTGATTTTCTTTTGCCTCAGTCTCAAATATAACAGCTTATTAGCACAGCACTGCAAATAAGTTTTCTATGGTGTGATATTGAAGAAACAAGCAAAAATTAATAGGCTAATATAAATATAACACAAGGCAAAAGTTTGCAAGTACTTGCATACCTAAGATCTAGTAATATTTCATATAATGATGCTTTTATACAGCTATAAAAAGTAACCTTGAACTGTGCTTATCTTAAGCATATTGCTTTCCTCTCCTTTTGTAAAGCTTTTGTTTTTCTTAGGTACCTTTCTCAAAGTGAAAATAGCTCTATAACTCTCTTAATGTTAAGTTTTAAAAAAATACATGGTATATTTGAAGGCATAAAAGTAATTTCTTTATATTTTATTTATATCCTGCCTTTATTCTATGTGTTTAAAATATGTACATATATATAAGACACCTTTCACATTATACTGACTAATGGCATATTATTTAATAGCATACATAAATAAGTTTTAAGTGCTCTTCTACTCATAGACATTTAGGTTTGTTAGAATAATTCTTTTAATCTTTTTATACTTACTATGCTTCCACCATATTTTGTTTTTCATAATTTTAACATTTCCTGCTTTTTTTCTTTCAAATATTTAGAGTGGGAATATATTTTTTTGTTAGTATGTTCTCCATTATCTTTCCCTAAGCATTCTACCTAGTTTTTTTTTTTTTTCTGAACTTTTCTGTTTTTATATAAGGAAAAAAATACAGTTTTTCATAAAAACCTCCAAACTGTCAGAGTAAAACTCTGGGTTTTGTAGACCTTAAAGTTTGTTACAGCAACTCACATTGCACTGTGGCCGCATGTAGTCAGTCATAAACAACGTGTAAACTTCATGGCTGTGTTGTAATAAAGTTGTATTTACAGAAATGGGCCACAGGCTGGATTTGGCCCATGGGTCAGCATTTGCCTACCCTGATTTAGATTTATCTCTTTCTCTTTTGATATTTATCCATACTTGCCCAAATTCTCAGTTGTTACGGCACTAAACTGAAAGGCACTAAGTGTTTTGTAAGCCATTTAAAAGTATTAAGTTGTGAACTAGTGGAACCAGTGTTTTAGTGTAATTACATTTTTATTTTGGTCTTTGTGCAGGGCCTTAATAACTGAATGTTTCAGAAAAGAATATATTTCTTTATGTTTGGGTAAATGGGAATCATATAGGAGAATTTAATCTAACATTGTCGGATTTTAGCTCAAAATCAAATAGTTAAATTTTTCTAAGAGAAACAAATGTTTATTTAAATTATAAATAACATGTTTAAATTTCTCTCTAGTTTTACTCCCAAAAAAGAAGAGGAAGAAAGCCAACCAGCAAAAAAAACATATACTTGGAATACAAAGGAGGAGGCAAAGCAAGCATTTAAAGAATTATTGAAAGAAAAGGTATTTATATTACAAATTTTTATATGACATAAAATATTTAATAAATGAAGTTACTCTTCATTGCAATCAGTACTGTGATGTCTTTAATGAAAATGTTAATTTCATAAACTGTTGGAACTGAAAGTGAAGTAAATTTTTCCTTTTTTTAAGAATATTTTTTCTGAAGCTGACTTTAACAAAAAATACCGATTGTGTGCAAAAGTATAAAATATATTTGACCTTTGTATTTAATGTAAGATTTTTTAATTTATAAAACATGTTTATCTTTTAATCAGTAGTCTTAAAAAGTATTCGTGATCTGTTTATATTTCAGTTTAAGTTTTCTTTTTAGTCTATAGGTATATTGTTACTCAGGCCTTGCTTCAATAAGAAATTATTTTTTTAGACCTTTTTTTAAACTGCAAAGGAAAATGTTTGATGTTTTCAGTGAGTATTATACTTTGTTTCCTGTTATATGACTTTAAATATATTTGTGTTAAGTTTTAATTTTTCATTAAATGGTTTTCAGCGGGTACCATCTAATGCTTCATGGGAGCAAGCTATGAAAATGATCATAAATGATCCACGATACAGGTAATTGATTTTTTTACATATACTTTTTACTTTGAATATAGCAAGCCTAGTAAATTCAGAATTGTATAAAACATAACTTTCTACTCCAGTTGTCTTGTTATTTTAGATACTGACAATAGAATTGTTCTGTCTGATAGGAACCAAAAGAGGTTGTGTCATATAGTTTGAGTATTCTGCCCTGCTACAGATAAAATTAAAATTATTTTGAAAGTAGAAATTATTTTCTGTAATCATTTCTTATCTTTAATGTCTACTTAAATTTTCTTGTGAATAAAATCAGTTATATTATTTTTCAAAGCATCAATATTTGATTGTCTTACCTTCATTTACTCTTATGTGGCATTTTTCTCTTTAGTGCTTTAGCAAAGTTGAGTGAAAAAAAGCAGGCGTTTAATGCCTATAAAGTTCAGACGGAGAAAGAAGAAAAAGAAGAAGCAAGATCGAAGTACAAAGAAGCTAAGGAATCCTTTCAGCGTTTTCTTGAAAATCATGAGAAGATGACATCCACAACCAGATACAAGTAAGATTTTTAGTGATGCATTATATATGTTTACTGAGCTGTTTCTGTGAGCTTTTTGCCAGGTGTGCAGTAACTGTTCCAAAGTAGATGCTCATTAAATAAAACTAGATGACTATAAACATAGCAGTTTTATTAGGTACATGATAAATCAGTAGTTAAATGTGGAATTTAACTTATAGACTCACTGAGTTATTAATTAGGGACTAGAGCTATTCTGTACTTACTATAAGAATCGACATTTTTGGTATTTGTGATGGAAATAGTCTATTTTCATTAAACATAGCATTTTGAAAATTTGTATTTACATAGCATTCCTGATTTTACAGTACTTTATTGTTTAAAACTGTGGGTAATTCAATGTTAACATATATAGTAAGTATCCAGTTCATTTGCTGTGTGGTGCTTCCTTAGTTTTGTCACTCTTCCAGTAGAGCCTTAGTGAAAAACTTCATTTCTTTAAAGATTCCTGTTTTATGTGTTAGCTGAATTTCTGACAACTTTTTGAAGTCTATAATGTAGTTCCATGGGCAGTTTGATAGTCTCTGTAGCTACTCTAAGAATTAGAGATAGTTTTGACTATAAAACATTGTGCAATTAGAATTAACCCCTGTAGCCTAAAGAAAAATGGAGGCCTAAGCTATTTTGTTCTTGTTCTTAATTATTCAGAAGTTTTCCTGAATAATACAGTCATGGATTTAGAATGGAAATGAGTGTTCATTTGGTGGTTTTAAATTTTCTGCAAAATTAAAATGGTTTAAGATTAATTTTTATTGTATAATATAGTGTAACATTTAATTATTTTAACATAGAAAAGCAGAGCAAATGTTTGGTGAGATGGAAGTCTGGAATGCAATATCAGAACGTGACCGTCTTGAAATCTATGAAGATGTTTTATTCTTTCTTTCAAAGAAAGAAAAGGTATAATTGACTCTTATTGATATTTATAGATAGAACAAGGTGTTTTCTTCATTCTGACTAGTAGTTATTTTATAACATATCTATTTTTGTTGGTTGTTTATCCAGTTTTTATGTTGCAGCAGATCTGTTTATTAGAAGTTAGGTTTTAAATTGGACAGCTCCTATAAGTACTGATGTGGATGTAGTAAGTACAGATTTATCTATTGCTTGAATTGTCATTAATTGGCTGTTCTGTACCTGCTTTGAGAGATAAGATATTCAGTGTTTTTGCTAAGCATTGCTTTTGTTTATGATTCTTTTGTAAGAAGGGCAATACTATATAATGGTTTCCACTAAAATGTACTTAAATGGTAGTATTTTAAAGTACCTCGTAACTATTGTATGCACTAAATTTTGTATTATCCAGTCTTCAAGAGACTTACAGAAATGTATTATTAATAGACATTTAATTTACCTGCAAGTGAAGATGTTAGCATTTATTCACTGTATGATTTGTTTGCAGTAACTTTAGTTTTTTAGACCATGACTATAGTGCATAGCTTTAGGAAGAGACATTTTGTTTTCCAGATTCTGGCTTAGAAGAGAGGTGAAAAAATTGAAGGTAGGTACCAAACCAAGAAATTAGGCTAGAGCACTGGAAAGGTAAATAATGTTGACATTCAAAGTAAATGGGTAATATTAGGAATTTGGTCATCAGTTAAAATATAAAGAAACCTTTACTAATTGCAGTTCAAATATTCCTTTGAACTTCAAAACGTGTATTTATACTTTTGATTTAGGAACAAGCAAAACAGTTGCGAAAAAGAAATTGGGAAGCCTTAAAAAACATACTTGACAACATGGCTAATGTAACATACTCTACTACTTGGTCAGAAGCCCAGCAGTATCTCATGGATAATCCAACGTTTGCAGAAGATGAAGAATTACAGAGTAAGCATAATAATTAAATGGAGAAACAATTTTTAACAAGTTGTCAAACAGCAGGGGAATCGCACATTTTTTATGAGACAACTAAATTTTACACTGTTGTTCATTCATTTCTGAAAAAGTGTTTTGTTTCTTTTCTTTTAAAATTTTATTTATTTAAGAGGAGGGAAGGGAAGGGGAAAAAGAGGGCGAGAAACATCAATGTGTGGTTGCCTCTTGAGCACCCCTTACTGGGGACCTGACCCACAACCCAGGCATGTGTCCTGACTGGGAATCAAACCAGCAACCCTTTGGTTTGCAGGCCGGTGCTCAATCCACTGAACCTCACCAGGAAGGTCTGAAAAAGTGTTTTGTTTCTAAATAGGATACTTCTTTCTAATTGTATTGTGATTTAGGACAAAAATATTTTCCCAGAAATGTGAAGTTAGCTTTATCAGATAATCCTTGAAATATGTTTATCATTGGTTAAACTTGAAATTGTGTGTGTGACTTGGTAAGAACCAAATTACCACATTTTATTCATGCTGTCATCTTGAGATAATGGCTTTAGAGATTTGCAAAATGCAAAAAAATATTACCATTATCTTCCATTAAGCTTCTCCAAATTCTCTCTTTTTTTACTATCTAGTTGTTTGTTTGTTTTTTAATTGCACTTTTGTTGATTACCCCTCTGAATATCATGCTTCAGGAAGTTTGGGAGAGGACCTAGAACTTTAACTTTACACTTTGCAAAGCTCCTTGGGTAATTCTGATAGTGCTGACAAATTTTATCATCATAATTTATTTTCATTAGTTGTGTCATGTGCAGTGTCTTTGCTTCATTCTCAGGTGCAAGGTATCTTTTGGTGAGGTTTTTTTGGAATTTTCCTTAAATTTTTCCCATTTAGATAATTATGAGTCATACTTGAATTTAAATATAAGTATTTTGGAAAGGTGAGTTTGACATTTATAGGGAGTTAATACAGATGATTAAATGACATTTTAATTTTTTTAACTGAAAAAACCTTTAGACATGGATAAAGAAGATGCATTAATTTGCTTTGAAGAACATATCCGGGCTTTAGAAAAGGAAGAAGAAGAAGAAAAACAAAAGAGTTTGCTGAGAGAACGGAGACGGCAGCGTAAAAATAGAGAATCTTTTCAGGTATTTAACATTTTCTTTTCTAGTTTAATTTTATAATATGGTTAATGAGCTTCAACAATGCTGTAAACAGTTTTAAAACACCTGATCCCAGATCACTAATGTAGATTTAGTGAAGTATTCATACACATTTAACTCCTAAGTTCTGCAATCAGTTACGACCCCACTGAGGAAGAGCAACCATTTTAGCCCAGGGCAATATAGAAAGACTGTAGCAGATTTGGTATTTAAGGAACAGATTGGTAGATGAGGTTTTACTTGGGAAAGAGAAATGGGATGAGGGAAGGCTGAAGACAAAATATGTGTGATGAGTCATTAGTACTAGTTGGTTGTTAGGCTCTAGAGAATTTTGTAGGGAATGCTATGGTGTAACTTGGAGGATGGGGCATAATTCTACAATGTTAATACATAAGAGTTGAAGCACATAATCTGCTAATGTTTCTTTTTCACCTCCAACTACCATTTTTTATTCACTTAGTAATGGAGAGTATCATGGACCAGTGAATTATAATGATAGCAGTTAGCATTAATTGATTGTTTACTACTTATACATACTAAATATAAATCTCTTGATTTTTATAACAGTCTTGTATTATAAGAGTAGGTAATATTTTTGCTATGTCCACTTAGAAAAGGAAATGATCTGGGAGAGGGAGAGTGACTTGCTCAAATTCAGCTATTGAATAGTGGAGAACTATTGAATCTACACGGTCTTAATTACAGAGTCTCTACCATTAAACACTGTATTAGGATAAATGCTAAGTTACAATAGCTTAAACAAGTTTATTTCTTAAAATAAGTTAATTGGTTTCGGGTAAGGCACATTGCCATGCCTTAGGTCTAGTGGTCCTCAAAACTTAGTATCATGAGAATCATCTAGCAGGCTCTTCTAAAAACTCAGACCACCATCCATGCCCAAGATCACTAACCATCTTAAATATCACAGCTGTTGCCTCTCGCATGCTCCCTACTTGAGGACCTGGCCCACAACCCAGACATGTGCCCTGACTGGGAATTAGACTGGTGACTCTGGTTCCCGGGCTGGCACTCATTCCATGGAGCTACACCAGACAGGGCTCAAAGTAGAAATTTTAAACTTTGTTACAGCTTTGAAACATTAACATCTGATATAATTAGAAATTACATTCATATGTCAGTTTTTTTTTTAAAGTATAGCTTCTTATTAAAAAACAAAACAAAACCCTTCATCCCATTAGAAATGGAAATGCAGCCCAGGCCAAGCACTATTGGTCTCTGTGTTTTTCCTGTGGTGGTGCTGGCTGCTATGGTGGGGTGTCTACAAGCCTTCCTGGGTTTTCCAGGCCAGATTTTTACTTCCACTTGGTAAAGCAATGCAATATGACCTCAATTTCACATCCAAAGCTCTAGAAGTTAAATTTCCACTATAGGATGCCACTGCTTTTTAAAGCATTGATTACTAAATATATTATAAAGAATACTTCAGACAGTTATTATAAAAAATATTCCTCTTCACACATACATATACACATAACCCTAACAACACTCACACCCCAAAATATCTTTACAGGAGTATTATCAGCCAGATAAGAAAAAAAAAATCTCAGTATTGGGTTTAGTGATAAGAAAAAAAAAATCTTAGTATTGAGTTTAGCCCTCCCTCAGGTGCACCAGACTGCTGAGTCTGGATCTGAACTCAGCTGATGTGAGAAATCTGGGACAAGCTTTGTCTCTTTCCTTACCATCACCGCCACTCTGCCTTTCCATCCTTACAGAACTTGCCAAGTAAATTAAGAGAGCATTTCTTTTAAAATCTAGTGGTATAGAATTTCTACTCTTTAATACTCAGGCTGAGAATTGAGTCACATGGCCATAACTAGCTAAAAGAAAGCTAGAAAACCTAGATTTAATAAGCAGCCATGTGCCCAGGAGAAGGGGAAAATGGACTTTTAGAAGGCTAGTTAATACTCTTCTGCAACCAGTGATTGAGCTTTAATGTCTCTTTTTTTAAAATATGTTTTATTATACTATTACAGTTGTCCCATCTTCACCCCTTCACTCCCCTCCACCCTGTACACCCTCTCCCAACCATAACCCCCCCTTTAGTCATGTCTATGTGTCATATAAGTTCTTCAGCTTCCACATTTCCCATACTATTCTTACCCTCCCCCTATCTATTTTCAACCTACATTCTATGCTACTTATTCTCTGTACCTTTTCCCCCTGTCTCCTCCTCCCACTCCCCTGTTGATAACCCTCCATGTGATCTCCATTTCTGTGGTTCTGTTCTGTTCTAGTTGTTTGCTTAGTTTCTTTTGGTTTTGCTTTAGGTCTGATTGTTAATAATTGTGAGTTTGCTGTCCTTTTACTATACATGTTTTTTCTTTATCTTCTTTTCTTAGGTAAGTCCCTTTAGCATTTCATAAAATAAGGGCTTGGTGATGATGAACTCCTTTAACTTGGCCTTATCTGAAAAGCACTTTATCTGCCCTTCCATTCTAAATGAAAGCTTTGCTGGATAGAATAATCTGGGATATAGGTCCTTGTCTTTCATAACTTGGAATATTTCTTTCCAGCCCCTTCTTGCCTGTAAGGTCTCTTTGGAGAAATCAGCTGACAGTCTGATGGGAACTCCTTTGTAGGTAACTGTCCCCTTATCTCTTGCTGCTTCTAGGATTCTCTCCTTCATTTTTACCTTGGCTAATGTAATTATGATGTGCCTTGGTGTGTTTCTTCTTGGGTCCAGCTTCTTTGGGGCTCTCTGAGCTTCCCAGATTTCCTGGAAGTCTATTTCCTTTGCCAGACTGGGGAAGTTCTTCTTTATTATTTGTTCAAATACGTGCACAATCTGTTGCTTTTCCTCTTCCCCTTCTAGTACCCCTATAATTCGGATGTTGGAACGTTTAAAGATGTCCTGGAGGTTCCTAAGCTTCTCCTCATTTTTTTGAATTCTTATTTCTTCATTCTTTCCTGTTTGTTTGTTTGTTTATTTTTCCTTCCTTCTGGTCCACTCCATTGTTTTGAGTCCCAGTTTCCTTCCCATCCCTATTGGTTCTCCGTGCATCTTCCTTCATCTCTTTTATGGTAACCTCCATTTTCTCATCTAATTGGCGCCCAAAATCAACCAATTCTGTGAGCTTCCTGATCACCAGTGTTTTGAACTGTGCATCTGATAGATTGGCAATCTCTTGGTCGCTCAAAAGGATGAGCTCTGGGGCATTGATCTGTTTTTCTGTTTGAGACATGTCACTCCTGTTACGGTGAGGGACAGAGCCTTAGGTGTTCACGGGGGCTGGGCACCCCATTTGCTAGATTGTGACGTTGTATGTGGGGGCGGGGGCGGGAGGAAACGATGGCTGGAGCTCCATTCTCCTGGGACCTCAGTCCCTTCTCTGGGATCCTGGGTTGTGCGCTCTGACCTGGTTCACAATTGCAGCCTCACTGGGTCTGCCAGCTGCCGCTTGCGTACTCAGGGTCCACCCGCTACAATCTTGTGTGCCCCAGGTGCCTTATGCGCTCCCGGTTGTCTTAGGCGCCCAATTCTCCGTTCTCCGCGCTCGTGACCCGCGCCGGCTGCTGCTCGTCTCCGCCCCTCCTACTGGTCTGGATGAACGGGTCTACTTCAACTTCCTGGCTGTCCGACTTCCATTCAGATAAATTCTGTGTCAGTTCTGGGTGTTATTCTGCCTCTAAATTGTTGTTGTTCTAACTTTGGTCGTGCATGGAGGTACGGTGCGTTCACCTATGCCTCCATCTTGCCGGAAGTCCCGAGGTTTAATGTCTCTTATTAAAGATGTTTTGCAGTAGTTTAAAATGAGACCTGTATGATAAAATAATAATATAAAAAATAAGGAAATCTGTGTCACACAGAAAAGTATGGTATGTGGTGTCAGTACTGGGACTGGAGAATGTATAGAAGAAATCCTAACGTATAGGCCACACGGGTCTTCTGGGTAAGCTTAAAATATGACTTTAAGTCAGACTGGTAGATATCTGGCATGGATTCTGATTACTCTTTTGATATAACTGGTGTTAGTGTGTTATATTGGTTTTGCTTCAGGTATTCAGCTCAGTAAATTTTCTGTGTCATTGTATTACCTGTCAGAAGATATATTTAGAAAGATTAATAAAATTAATTAGAAAATTGACATTGAGAATAAAAGATCATGAATAAAAACATTGTCATTAATAATGGTTATGATGATGGCTGTCATTTTATTGCGTATTCATTTGCTAGTCAGATAAGAACAAATATTTGTGACATCTAGGACTAGGAATATGTGATTTTTTTAAGTCTTAAAACTTGTTTTTGAATTCTATCAAGAGTGGAAAGGAGTGATCGGGGACTTTAAAGGAGAACCAGGGAATGTGTATTGTCTCAGAAGCCAAGGTGGAGTTTTAAGATAGAGCAGTGGTCCTCAAAGCTTGGCACTTAGATAAAATAGCATCAGAGTCATCTGGGAAGTTACAGAAATGGAGATTCTCAAACCCCACCCCAGACCTACTGGATCTAGTTCTGGGTGTAGGGTCCAACAGTCTTGTTTCCACCAGTCTTTCAAATGATTCTTTCAGAAACTGCTGAGGTAGAGGGACCCACCAAAAGTAGCAAATGTTAAGAATTTGAAATAAAACCAAAAGAATACTGTGAGGTGTAGCGTTTAAGGTGTTTTGTAATTGTTGGAATGGCAGGGAAAGTTAGAGGGTAAAGGTAAATAGAGAGAAAATCAGATGTTTTTCAAAGACATGTGATAGGAAAGTTCAAATAAGCTCAGGGTTAAGAGAATGGCTTTTCTCGAGTAAGAGAAATCAGTCAAGAGAGAATGAAGAAAATTGAATGATGGAGGTATCTCTCATAAAACAAAATCTTAGGTTTGGAATTCAAGCATATATGTATTAATAGGTATATTATGAACAACATACAAGGAGACAAAAGGAAGGAGATGAGGGGGGAAGGTATATTAAATTGACTCTGAGGCAGTGAGTGCCAAGTTTTGGGAACCTTCCTCCTAAGGGAAGGAGAAATATCAGGCTCAGACATCATTGAAGCAACTTGCCTTCTCTACTGGAAAACATTAGGCTCCCACTGCGTACTCCAAGATGGGGTTAGTAAATAAAAGGAGTAGAACCATACAATTTTAGCACAATGGTTTTCAAACCTGAACTTAAGCCAAAGTCATAAAGTCATTTACTTTACAAAGTAAAATTACAAATAGTCAGTTTTAAATCAGAATATAAAAAAAAATTTTTTTCAGGTGATTGTAATTTTCCCTCAGGATAGGGATTCACTACTGAAATGGACTCAATATCAGAATTTTATGACTCTTCAGATCTTAGCATCCTGAAAGTGAAACAAATACTAGCAAAGCAGGTATAATAGAGTGAGGTGGATTCTAAGATCCTAGAGAGTATCATTGAAGATGATTTCTAAGCTATTTTAGGCAATCAAAAGAGGGAGCAAGTAAGGAACATCGTGATCACACAACAGGGTTGGTTTAAGATACGGATTCCATTTATTTTGTAGGAATGATGGGAACAAAAGGATAGGTAACGAATTTGAGAAAAAAATGTTGGAAGTATAAGACTGTATGGACATGCTTATTCTTGATTGAAGAGGAGTTACAGGTGTCCGGTGTTACTCATGACAGTGCTATCCAATAAATTTTGCCCACCACATGTCAATCTGATTTTAATTTCTTGTTAATTTTTAACTAATTACTAACTTTTTCTTTTGCCCAATATATCCAAAATACTATCATTTTAACATGCAGTTGGTATTTTTTAAAATTGATATTTTGGGATAATCTTCAAAATCATTGTGTGCTATAGACACTGATTGCACACCTCAGTTCCAGCTTGCCACATTTCATGTACTTAAAAGCTGTATTTAACCAGTGGCTACCATACTGAACATTGCAGGTTTAGGAATTTTAGGAGCAAAATTTGGGGTCATTGTTCTTTAGGAATATTTGTAGGATTAAATTCCTTAAGGGTTTGGGGAGGCAGGAAATGTGAAAATAACTAAGTACTAAATTCCTAATATGTTTCCCTGATAATCTGCAAATAGTATAAAAGAATAAAGAAGAGAAATTGAAATTTGCATACAAAGATTTAGAATTAATATAGTAATATAAAAAGGTTTTGAAATCAGATAACGGGGTTGTTCCCCAAAATTTTGTGTATATTACTTTGGTAAAATTATGTGTCTTCCTCTTAAGAGAGAGGTCCACAGTCATCAAGAAAATTAAACAAAAAATAAAAACACCTAGAACATATCAGGCACCACGTTAAAAACAAGTATATTTTATGAGTCATGTATACACATTCTTTAGCATCATCATTTGAGATAGATAATATTCAATATTTTTAGTTTACTTTTACCATTATATCTTTTTTTAAAACTGGAAGTGATGTTCCATCTTACACTACAGTAAACTGAAGCCTGGAAAGTTAATGTAGTAGCTTTTCAGAAGTCCTTTTCTTTGAAGTACAAAATACTTTTTTTTGCCTAAAAGCAGATTTTACTTTTATCGAGGAACCACCTTAATGTTTGCATTTATACATTTTGGGGGTGATAAACATTGGTAGAAGAGTTTTGAATATCGCTGCATTTTTAATGTGTGTGTTCATGGTACACTAATATCTTTCTAATGTCCTTAAGATGACTTCAATATTATGGGATTTGTTGTTGTTTCTTGTTGCTGTTAATGGTTCTTAATTTTCCAGATATTTTTAGATGAACTACATGAACATGGACAACTGCATTCTATGTCATCTTGGATGGAATTGTATCCAACAATTAGTTCTGACATTAGATTCACTAATATGCTTGGTCAGCCGGGTGAGATTCTTTTCTTTCCTAACTTATGGTTATGATAGTAGATGGAATGGGCCAGAAGGTTGTGTTGGAAAATGGGAGGGAGGGGCACTTTATTTTGTTTTATAAACAAAAAAATAATTGCAGCTCTTTAGTTAGAGCTAGCTTTTGACTTCTTTAGTTTTTTCATTAGGATCAACTGCACTTGACCTTTTCAAGTTTTATGTTGAGGATCTTAAAGCACGCTATCATGATGAGAAGAAGATAATAAAAGACATTCTAAAGGTAAATAGTATACTTACTGTACACTGTTAATCTGTGGTATATCTTAAAAATCATGTGCTTCTTTGATATGTGTTATTAACAAGATTTCTGTTTGGGTTTTTTTAGGATAAAGGATTTGTAGTTGAAGTAAATACTACTTTTGAAGACTTTGTGGCAATAATCAGTTCAACTAAAAGATCAACCACATTAGATGCTGGAAATATTAAGTTGGCTTTTAATAGTGTAAGTTGTCTTTACTATTACGAACAATAGTATAGTTCTTAAGTATTCAGCCAAAAGTACTTCAGTTGTAGGATACTGGAATAAGGGAATATGAGCAGGATTTCATATGGTAATAGGTATCTTGCAGGATAAGATAAAAGAAAATAATATATTTAGATGCTGGGCTAATGTTAAGCTTTCTTTGCTCAAATTAACTGGTGTTGTAAATTGGATATTAACTTATAAATAATGGAGAATACCTAAAAGTAATGAGCCTGACTGGTGTAATTCAGTTGGTTGAGTATATCCCACAAAGTGGAAAGGTCACCAGTTTGATTACTGGTCAGTGCACATGCCTGGGTTGCAGGTTTGGTCCCCTGTTGGGGCATGTATGGGAGGCAACCAGTTGATGTCTCTCTACCTTTCTCCCTCCCTTACCGTCTTTCTAAAAATAAAATCTTAATAGTAACAATGAATTGTTTTAACTAAAGAAAATTACTGTAACTGATGAACTGATTTTTCTCAAAGTTACTAGAAAAGGCAGAAGCCCGTGAACGTGAAAGAGAAAAAGAGGAGGCTCGAAAAATGAAACGAAAAGAATCTGCATTTAAGAGTATGTTGAAACAAGCTACTCCTCCAATAGAATTGGATGCTGTCTGGGAAGATGTATGTATATTTGTAAATTTTTCCTAATGAATGGTTTTCTTTACAATTGAAAATAATATTCTTTTCAGTTCCTTTCATTTTGTAGCCACAGAAATAAGCTGAGTTATTTGTACAGCATATTAGATATATTGAGACTAGATTAAAAGTGTAAAGTCAGCTGTGACTCTACATTTAGAAATATTTGTTAAAAATATTGTGGATTTCAGAGTAAAGAAAATAATATAATAGACTTTGAGGAGAGTGAGCTGTCACATTTTTCACTTGCTTTTTTTTTAAGTCATACTGATATGTTCTTGGCATTAATATTTTTATTGCATATCTGAATTTTTTCAGATCCGGGAGAGATTTGTAAAAGAGCCAGCATTTGAGGACATAACTCTAGAGTCTGAAAGAAAACGAATATTTAAAGATTTTATGCATGTACTTGAGGTAATTTTAGTATTTTCATAACTGGCTGAAATACAAACTAAAAATTAAGGAATTCAGAGCAATAAGTATGTTACTTAAATTACACTACTTTTATGCAAATGTAGTTACCTAGGATACTTAAGGTATTTGTTTCTTTTAAATAGAAACGGCTTGTACGTGAAACAAAACTTGCACAGGGATATAAAGATTGTGGAGACTATTCATGTGTTTCATATTTTTACATTGTTTCAGAAATTCCACTTAGCAGCCATGTCAACTGACTAGTAAACCTAACGAAAACTTAAAAACTGTTTTCTGTCTGCTCTACAAGATTCCACCCATACATTTAAAATACACTACAGTAGATGTATTAGATGTATTTCAGGGGCGATCTGAGAAATAGTGAAGTAAGTTTTGTTAGAATAATGATAAAATTGCAGGATACTTTATTAGCTGAATAAGGGTATTGTGATGATTTCAGATAGGCACTTGTACATAGTAGATATTTGATGCCTGTGTGGGCTAGGCACTGTTGAATTGTTAGACAAATATTACATATACGAATGCAATCCTGAAAACAACCCTGTGAAGTTAAGATGAGTAAACTGTGGCAAAGAGAAATAAATTACAGGAAGGGATTCCAACACAGGCTCTTTGACTCCAGAGTCAGTACTTTTAACAGACATGCTAAACAGGTACATAAACTGATATTTTACAACAGTCTGAAAACTGGCACATATTTATTACAGTTTTGCATAGTTATTGGGCATAGCAGGCCACTTAGATTGACTTGAGTGTTTCATTGTATTTATTGTTATCGAAGAATATCAATGTTGACAAGAGTTTGCTCTGTTAATATACCCACATGTACTCTGTGTTAGTTTCCCAGCTGCCTGTAGATCTTTTCTACTCAAAGTGTTTTCGACTAGCATTATCTGTAGTGACTTGGAGCTTTTGAGAAATGCAGAGCCTCAGACCCCATCAGCAGAATTCCTGTATCAGAATCATCATTTTAACAAGATTCAATTTCCCCTAATTCAAGAATCTTCCATCAAGATTTTTCCATGATCTGTGCTGCGGGTAAAGTGGTGAGGTCATAAACGGAGATGAAGATGGAGGCATAGGGAAGGGCTGAACCCATTAGAATAGAGTTTTGGAACCCAATATTCTGGGCCTAGAGGTAGAAAAGGAAAAATTAGCATTCAATGACATAAAATGAGAGTCCCTCCTAAGCCAGATTTTGTATTTCCACTTACTTGTGAACTGAAGCAAAATGTATTTTCAAAGCTGTAGATATGTTGGGGGCAAGGACTTTTTACTGCAGCATTTCCTCATTCCTGCTAGCCAGATAATTGTTTTATTAGTAAGAGTTAAAATCCACAGAGACAGCACTTTTTCTGATTGTATGTGGGGTTTCATAGGCACTCATGTGGAAGGCGTATGGATGGATGTCTTACGTTTGACTAAGAAGGGAATGCTCCTTGTGTGAAAAGAAAATAGATTATATATTAATTCTGAAACTAACCTCCATTTATTAATGCTGAGGCAGTTCTTTATCTTGGTGTAGAACCGTGAGAAAAACCGTATCTGACCATAATGGTATTTAATTGTTTTTGAAAGCAGTGTAACTTTTCTGTAAATTATACCTTCCTGGAGTATATCGGTTATCCCTACTAAGCTACACCCTTCTCATTCCTACAAAAAGTACTTTAGCAATATTTTTACACTGTTGTGTTTAGATATCTAAATGATGGTTAAGGCTCAGAAGAAAACATTTTAAGTGATTATAATTTTTCACACAGTTTCAAAGGAGTACATCCTAAATATGCAAAATGGGGTTTTACTCTAAGAACTTATTTGTATAGCTTTTAAAACTTCTTTATGATCTGCTCTCTAAAGTAAGTGTAAACTTCTGAATATTTTCTTTCTTTGCTCCTGTAGCATGAATGTCAACATCATCATTCAAAGAACAAGAAACATTCTAAAAAATCCAAAAAACACCACAGGAAACGTTCCCGCTCTAGATCGGTAAGGAAGTTTATTAGATGGCACCCGGAGTGTATTGAAACATGTATTAGCATCATTATGAATAAAATTATTTGTATTGTTTAGGGGTCAGATTCAGATGACGACGACAGCCATACAAAGAAAAAAAGACAACGATCAGAGTCTCGTTCTGCTTCAGAACATTCTTCTAGTGCTGAGTCTGGTAAGCGTATCTTTTAACTTGATTAAAATCGACACTTGGATGTCCTCAAATTCTGACACTTTTCCTTTTCATGCTGCTTAGAGAGAAGTTACAAGAAGTCAAAAAAACATAAGAAGAAAAGCAAGAAGAGGAGACATAAATCTGTAAGCAGGTTTTTAATTTTTATACTAGGCTTTTGCCTTTAACTCCCCTAGGGCAGTAGACCTTTTTTTTGTCTAGTACCGTGCAGTCTGGCACAGTGTGTAGGTGGGCGGCACCTGAATTCAAGAGCTTTACAGCTGATCTTTGTTTTAATCATCCACGAAAATCTTTTGGTGAGCTTTGGGGAAAAAAATATACATACAATACTAAGATTCCCACTCTGGTTTTTTAAAGTAATCTTAGAGGAAAACGCAAGTCTTTATGTTTTATGTATGTGTTATAGCTGTTGTTGAGAGCCACTTAACCTTAGGTATGCCTAGAGGCCTTTTTCAAAATGTAAGGTCCTGGGTGTTACCACAAACCTGTTGAAGGAGATTTTTTTCATGGTGCTGACTTGAACTTAGGCTTTCCTAACAAAGGATTGCGTGTTCGGGCACTGACATTACATTTGAAATAATTACTGCTACTCAGTAGCAAATTTGAAGAAAGAATTTTATTATGCAGCTATCAACCTAATACGTGATTGAACTAATGATAGCATCTTATGTTCATAATAAGTAATGTTTTACCGGGTTCGTGGAAATGTGCCTTCATCCTTAACTTAGTAAAGCTCTTTTAGTGGTGTATATTACTCTTATCGGAATGTCTTCCTTTCTGCAGGAATGGGCCACTGCCCCCTTGAATCTTGGAAATGTTATAGAATCCTTGAGCTTAACACTTTAAATTTCACCACTGTGAATATATTCTTTGTTATTTGTAGATTTTCCTAAATACTACCTATATGAGCATTTGTCTTTGTCAAATGCCAACTTTCTTTATTTACACAGGACTCTCCAGAGTCAGATGCTGAGCGAGAGAAGGATAAAAAAGACAAAGACCGGGAAAGTGAAAAGGACAGAAGTAGACAAAGATCTGAATCAAAACACAAATCGCCTAAGAAAAAGACTGGAAAGGATTCTTCTGTAAGTAGGATTTTTATAATACAGAAATGGAGACTATGATTAAAACTATGATGTTATTTAAAGAATAGACTTTTTTTCAGGTCTACTACCATTAAAGAAAACAATGAAAATTCAGTTAACTACAAAATAGTTTTCTAATGTGTGTGGTCATAAATGATCCAGTTGGAGTATCCTAAATTCCTTAAAAAAGTAACATAGCATTCCACAGCTATTATTTTAACTCACTAAGAAAGGAGGATATATAGTCTTCTGCCATTCTCACTAAGAAGTGCCACTGCGCATCTCCTACCTTAGTTTTTAAGGAATATAAAATTTAAGAGACTCAAATCAGGGTTCTTCCTCTAGATATTCACAGTTGTCATTGTTACTAAGTCTGGTTTCAAAAGGTAACATTCTAGTAACTTTGGGGAAACATCATTTGGAGGAGAGGTGAAGGCAAATGGATAGGATGGGACTGTAACCAAAAGTTAGTATTTTAATATCAAGTCATGTGATTAGTCCTTATTTTCCCATATGTGTGTGTATACATACATGTGAATGAGAGTACAATAGCACAAACCTTCTCAGCTTTGCCATTCCTCCCACAAATGCTGTGAGCTTAGCAAGGACTATGTCTTGGAATTAACCAGTGGAGAGTTTACACCATGTAGAGAAGCCCTGGCCCTCCCTCTAGATGTTCTGATAGAGTTGCAGTAGGGTGAAGGGGTTTTTTTGTTTGTTTTAAATGCTGCACTGGTGAGTCTGATGCACATCCTTGATGAAAAAAGAGTATTTCCTCTATACCTGTGAGCAGCTTAACACTTTCTTCTTTCTTATACTAGGTTAAATGAAATTCCTGGAGGGAAAGAGGATAGGTGAAGTAGATCTGATTTTCAAAGATGATTTCTCACAAATAATGCATTATTATTTTTGTTTGAATTTTTTCTTCAGCCTAAGAACTGTGCTGCTCATACATCTTGAATGTTTGTACTAAGCATACTTTTTTCTAATGTAAAGCACTCATAGGACAACTTAGAATCTGCAAAATTAGCAGGAAATACAGTGCTTAGGAAATGAACACCTGGCTTCCATTAAATGAAAAGAGGATGTTTCATAATCAATTATGTAAGAGAAAATAAAAGAAACTGTATATACCATTGTCCCTGATTTATGTGTTAATGTTTACTAAAAACAACACATAAAAACCTCATTCTAAATTAAGGATCTCTCCTAATATAACCAAGGTATATGTATACTTACTTAGCAACCCACTGGTAGGCTTTGGGGAAAGAGGTAGTAAGTCATTAAAATATGTGATGTATCTGTTTCTATGAAAGAGATTCAAGGGATTTGGATTGTTTTTTCAAAAGTTCCTTATTACTTAACCTTACCCTTTGAGTACTAACATGAAATGTGATTGTGTTCAATGTCTTTTCCAGGGTAATTGGGATACTTCTGGCAGTGAACTGAGTGAAGGGGAATTGGAAAAGCGCAGAAGGACCCTATTGGAGCAACTGGATGATGATCAATAAATTATACCAAATATATGTTTACAGTATGATTTAAAGTCTAATTCAGACCAAGGACTCTATTTTATGTTCAATTGAAATAACACTGGGTTTTAATTATATCACAGGAAAAAAAAGTGCATTTAAGTATTGTTATTGTGGACTTTATAAAAGCAAAGGAAACTGAAAATAACTTTTGATTCTGTATGAAGAATCATATTTTCATATGGTCATAACTGTTTTTCTGTGACCCTTTCAGAGGGCACTGCAGGATGGATTAAAGGTGGCAATTTACTAATAACTGCAGATGTCTCTACTTTGTTCTAAAGTCTAAGTCATTAAGATGATTTGATTAACTTTATGGAAGTTGGATTTTGAAAATATAATGAAACATTTTTTTGATACTTAGTCGTATCAAAAAAGCACCAGCAACTGATAAACTACTTTTTTTGTGCTCTACCCAACTGGTTGGAGCTAATCTGATCTTTTATGGTGAACCCAGAAATAGGTGTTCTTAATGGAAACATGGTAGACCCTTAACTACGGCAGTGCCAGTGAGCACTGCTATAATAAAGCCACCATTATTTTTTATGAAACATCTGAATACGTTTTAAAAGGCTATTGTGAGGGCATTATTTTGAGGTGATGTTTTAAACGTTAACATCAAGTCAAATTGTAGATTAGTTTAAATATATTGCCTTAAGGACCTACTAAAGAATGTGCCACCAAACTAAGTGATAGTTGCAATATCCTTGTCTAAAACAAAAATCAATGTTGACTTAAACATTTTCTTTAACAATTGTCTTTTTAATTCGATCTTTCTCTTGCTTTTTTCATTGAGGAAGTCTTTTACCTTCCCTATTCACTGAGAAGTATTGACTTCGTGGTACACATTCTAAAGCATTTCTGATTTGAATATTTTTGTACATTTTTATCAATTATTAAACCTTCTCTTCTAGCGTGTACTAGTATTTATTTCTACGTAAACTGTTCAGCTTTTTAAAAAGAAATTGTATGATCATTTAAAGATAAAGAAACTAAATCCCTGAAATTTTGCTTCCTCTTACCCACTTAGCTAAGTCATTTTCCTTTTTTAATATAATCAGCGCATTTGAGGCCCCTATATTTGTTTTTGATCTGAATTTCTGCAGAATACTTCAGAGAGGCCATGGTTTGAGCTAGAATACTTTTTACATGCTAACTTTTGAAGGTTGGTAATGTAATTTATACTGTATTCCTTCAGTGCAGGATTTTTTTTTAATAGGAAATTTTAGCACATAGTCTTTGGTTTACCTTAGTTTTTTTGGTTTTTTGGACACTTTGAGCAATCCTATTTCAAGTTGGGATTTAAAAGAACAAAATGTTCATTGTATTTTTTCTTCAGCACCCTAAGGAATTTGAAAAGTGGGACTGACCAGGATGACTCTTCTCATCCTTCCTCCCTGTTTCAATTAAATCTGTCCACTGCTGAAAGCTTAAAAAGGCGGGGGTGGGTGGGTAGGGAGGTTTCTCAACTTCTTGCTTTTCTGATGTGAAATATGATATGACTTTGTAGAAAGTGAGAACCATTATTTTTAGAAAATGTGAAGTAATCAAGTTGCTTGCTTGAGTCCCCTATTGTATATTAGAACCAAAACAGAACTACGTAAACAGGGATTCACCTACACTTAATTTTCAGAGGTCCCATTGTAATGATAGTTAATATTGCCAATCATGTCTAACATTTGACATGGAAGTCAGTGGTAAAATTCTTAAAATAATTATATGATACTGGCAGAAATACTAGTGATGTTTCACAAGAGAATTTAGAATCTGTAAAATGTTTTAATTCTATGAATGATTTTTTTAAGTACAACTTCAAAGTTTTGATTTTTCTATTTAAATAAAAAACTATTGATGTGTTTTAGCATGTCCTCAAAATAAATTTCTGTACTTCTTACACTGTCTATCACAACCTCAAATCCCTACAGGACAATACAAATTCAAGTTTCCCTATAGCTAGCTCACCCATGAAAATTATTTAACCAAAAACAAAACTAGTGAACAAGTTACAACTCAAAATACAACATCCTTATTATAAAAGATGTTATTAACATGGCTATAATCCTTGTCTAGCACCCTTCATTGATCCCATCAAATGAGATTTAGTTGCCAGAAAGATACTGTCTGATCTGAAGGCACAGGTGATGGGAAGAATCTAAATATTTTTAACCAGTTAAAGATTTAGGTTTCAAAATCTTCATAAGAGAACATGTTTCAAATGTTCTCTAATCAGAGAATAAAGAACATTTGTTCTCTGGTAATAGCTGAAATGTCTTAAAATGCTGGTTCCATTAGAATTGAACAGCTGTTGGAACAGTTTGAACAAATGTGTTCAGACAGGAAAGCGTGTTTATTTTCAGATAAGGGAATGTCTACTTTTCAAGTCTCAGACGTAGGTAAATGTTGAGGGTTCATCTTCCCTCATTATCATTAATATGAATTATTAGGTTAAATTCACTAATACATTGAATTTCATACTTCACAGTCACAATAGCAACTTCAAATACCTGATGTTTTTATTTTCTCTGGTCTATAATTCATATGTGGGAAAATTGAATTTGTATGAAAAGTTAATTTAGTCAATCAAGTATATGAAGTATTCATTGCACTTTTGCCAAGTATATTTAAATAGCTCACTGCTTTCAAATTTTAAAAAGGCCCATGTTTTTTAAACATAGTGATTTTGCTATCACTACCCAAAAATAGCTTCACCATATAAATTATTCATATTTCTCAACAGTAAAAATACTTTTCGTGCCTCCCAGTAAATCTGAATATGATCAGAGTGTATCACAGCTCTTTTGTCTTTTGCTAATTAAGCCTCATAACACTATAAAATGAAAAGGATTTGTGAGGCCTAGAGTAAGGCAATCTTAATTCATAATGGTAGAGTGAAGGGACTGAACATTCCTCAAACATCTCTGTACATTTTCTGGAAACAGTGTAAGTTTTCATTCAATTACCAAAGGGCTTTTTGTCCTGTGTTAAGCACAAGCCTTGGATGATTCTGGTTTCCTTCCACGGTTAAGGGTCAACTGAGTGCCGAGTAGGCAGCCACTTTTATTTTTGCATCCAGCCACTTTTATTTTTGCATCCAAAAGGGGTTAGGGTAGCCCTCTTATACACAGGCCTTTTTTAAACCTAGATGCTATTTAGGAGAGAGAACAATGTCCAATCAAATGGTACCCAAGGAAGAGTCATGAATGCTGTTTTTAAAATTTATAGGCTATTAAATAAGTATATTATGTAATTTAGAAGCAAAACTTGTATCTTAAATCAGATTTTTCCTTTGGGAAAAGTGTCTCAGTTGGAGGTAGAATTTTAATTCTTTTACATTCTCTAGGTAAAACTGCACTGATCTCACATAATTTTTATGAAATTGTTTTAGTAGGTTTATGGTAATAGGCTCATAATCTATGTCATTGTATAGTTCTGATATTTTTTACCAGCCTAAAAATTCTTACCTTCCTTATTAATTCTTACTTGCTCTAAGTTTTCAATTATTTTGACTTCATTAGTCTAGTTCCTATTTATGTTTTCATTCACTGCTGTATTCCGTAGATTAGAACAGTGCCTAGCACATAGTAGGTATCTGTTGAATGAATGTAAAACATTAGTTGACAGGTACTAAAGGGCTTGAAAAAGCATCTTTGCAGTAAACCATACACCCACGACTACTGCCCCATGTGAGGTGGCTGTGCCTTACTTACTGTCACGTCACTTCAGGAAAATTCAAAAGCTTATTAGAACATGTAACTTCCATGTAGTTTTTGAATAGGAAAGGAAACCCCTTGATGATTTGAAATATACCTTCATTGTAACTATTAAGTTAATATACAACAGTAGTTCAAAAGTAATTTATTTATTAACATTCAGCTAGATCAGGATTGGTCTTTAAAGGCCCTAAGGGACACAATAGCAAATTTCCTATTAAAAATACAAGCCAAGAATTAATCATTTCAGGCTGTTTTGGACAAAGGGATGAATACCGGTAATATGATAGGCATTCAATTGTTACTGGAGCTGATGTAATGATGATGAGGTGGGAAGTGAGAAGACTTTGCTGCAATTACCACACTCCCCCAGTCCTCCATTGTATTTAGCTTGTCTACCTGGCCTAAATTCTTTAATTGCAGTAGGTTATCTATGCTTTTCGTTTTATTTTTTATTTTGTTACAGTTGACATACATTATTAGTTTCAGGTGTGCACCCCAGTGCTTAACTATTACATAAACTTGCTGTATAAAAACTGCTTTTGTGACACAGTAGGATCTAGTTCAAAGCCATCTCATTGTTAGTGACTGGTAATTGACTTAATGGATAATCGCCCTGGGTGTCAGGTTGATGTTTGCATTTCAGGGCCACTGGCTAAACTCCCTCAACCCCAGTTTTCAGTCACGGACTATGAAACAAAACAGTTACCTCCTCAGATCAGATTCAAAGTAAGCCATTTCTTGATGCCCTTCTTTTTGGGGGACCCTTGGGGTATCTTAATGTGCTATTTATAAACATTCTTTTTTCGGTCCTTCCTGCAAACTTTTTTGGTAGGTGTTGGTTGGTCTCATGCCTACCTACCTCCTCGACTAAATTTAAGACTTGTTCTGAAAACTGAGTCATAGGAGAATAAGGTTTCTATGTTCTGTGTAATTACCAGATTTTTCTCTTCTATTTACATGTTGTTCTGATATAAAGAACTTCAGTTATATAAAATTAGACTTTTTGTAAATAAATATAATTTATTAGAAAAATGGCATCTACTAAGTTGTTTCTGTGCCAGCATTTTTACCTTTGCGCACCCCTCATGCAGCAGTTGTGTTATGAGATGCAAGATGCCCACCCTCTGTTTTCTCAGTGTAATACCTGCTTTTCTCTGTAAAAAGATCAAAAAAAGTATATTAATAGTTCCTAATACATTTGGTTTTTGCTTCAAATTTTTTCTCTTGGAAATAGATGGAGTATTAGGTTTAAAAGAAATGGAGAACTAGTAATACTTCTTTGTATGAACTGGGATGACAGTATGTTCATCTTTGCAGACATGTTTGATCGAATTTAGGAACCATGTATTGGGGCTAAGAAGAGTTTATCAAATATTAAAATCAGTAGGTATGTGAATTACAAAGTTACTATTATAAAAGCATGTCTTTTATAATAATACAGTACAAAGTTAGACAATTCTACAAAATCCAGTATGCTGAACCAGTAAGGCCCATTCTGTGCAGAGCAGTGCTGAGTCAGCAGGGTCCCTGGACACTCAAGTGCAGTCCATCTGAATGTATGAGGACTTAGATTTGGGAGTGGGGGGGCTTAATTCTGGATCATTGGTAAACATGTTTAAAAAGGGATGCTATTGGTATATAATGTCCCTTAAACCTAACCATCTCTGCCTTATTTGAACTTACTGCTATAGTTTGGGTCTGAATACTTTCTGAATTTGTGGGATATTAAAAACATTACTTCTTTCACCATGAAGCACTTTG